GTCATTGTTGTTTGGCGGGCCCGGGCTGGATTCAAACCCACCACCTTTGGTGTATGTGGCTGGTGCCTTAGCCACTTGAGCCACAGACGCTGAGCCGCACTGACATAATTTTGATTTCAGTACTATACCAGCATTTTGGGGTTCAGATATTTCTTTCTTTTCAAAATGTACGACTCAGGAAAATCCAGTGGTCAAAGATGAGCACAGCAGGTCAGATCAGTATGGATTTACAGAATATTATCCACATGCTCAGTCTTCAGCCCTTGTTTTCACTAGTAACACACATGGCAGATGGTGTTCACATGCCTTCCACCATGCTTCATGGGCACTTCCTGCTCTGGGCTCTCCCTCGGACACTTAACCTTTCTCACCCACTCAAGAAAGCTGGCTATTTATAGGCTGCATCTAAATGAGTTGGGTATTATCATGTGCTAAGCTAATACAATTTTAGAGTAAAAGTCAAATTATTCCCAGGTTTTGTTATCAAGGTATCAACTTATTTGCAACACATGGGACCCTGACCTGGGTACCAGTGCTCTCTGGTCCTGTTGTTGAGAACACCTGAGAATAGCAAGTGGAAAGTTTATTTCACAGATGCACATTTTAATCTCTCATTTGCTCAACAAATATTCATTAAATTGGAGAAATATTTGTTTGTATAGTTTAAAAGAAAATCACAGGGCCCAGCATGGTGGCTCACTGAGCCTGTAATTCTAGCACCCGGGGAGGACAAGGTGGGTGGATTTTCTGAGCTCATGGGTTCAAGATCAGCCTGAGCAACAGCAAGACCTCTAAAAATCGCCTGGGTGTTGGGCAGTGCCTGTGGCTCAGTGAGTAGGGTGCTGGCCCCATATACCAAGTATGGCAGGTTCAAACCCAACCTGGGCCAAACTGCAACAAAAAAATAGCTGGGTGTTGTGGCGGGTGCCTGTAGTCCCAGCTACTTGAGAGGCTGAGGCAAGAGAATTGCCTAAGCCCAAGAGCTGGAGGTCTCTGTGAGCTGTGACGTCACAGCACTCTACTGAGGGTGACAAAAAAAAATAAAGAGATGGACCCATGGAAATTAAATTCCAAGGGGAATTTAATTAATTATACAATGCATTTTTATAATTTGGCAAACTGGCCATCAAAGCACTTTGCTCATAGCCATGGCTCTCTTTAGGACCCTATAATAATTGTACTGGAAGGATTGACTAGGAAGCTGATGATGTAACATGGTTTTCAGACATTTGCCATTTACAATTTCCACTGATTTTATTGGAAGGAAAGGCTGGAGAAAGGAAGGAAGGAAAAGAGATTGCACAAAATACTGATTAGATGGATTTCACAGAGTGTTCACTGGAAATGTGATTTACATGCATTTGTCATCCACTAGAGGCAGCAAGAAGGCCAATTTGACAGGTCATTTGTGGCAACAGGAAGTCACAGCTGGCAACCAGACATTTTGGTTACCAGCAGCCTTGCTAGTTCATTTGGTTTACCAGCAAGCACCCTTCTAGTTAGCTCTGCTGTGTTGTGCCAATTCTGGAGCTGCTTCTTCTCCCTAGAATTCGTCTGTGCACTGGAGGCTTCTGATGAGTTTTTGAAGGAACGGGTGATAAATCTTCCTGAGAGCGTCGTGGCCGGGACCCACTATAGCCAGGACCGATTCCTCCGGGCTCTGAGCAACTACCGGGACCTCAATACTGAAGATGAGACTGTCTTTAATTATTTTGACGAAATTGAAATCCACCCGATACATATTGGTATGAAATGAATTTCGGGATAATATGAGGGTCGAGAGGCAACCGTCCTCTGGGAAGTTGCCCTGTACTCCCAGCAAACCCTGGTGCACTTCTAACTGGGATTATGAAGCTAAGGGAGAGTGGAGGAGTGCAACTATGTGCCAGGGCACAGGAAACCACAGGATAAACCAAGCATGCCCGGGGAGTCATTTTACACAGGGACTTGGTGGTGGGAGGGTGTTATTACTACACAAAAACATATGGATATCTTGTGTGTTCATAAGATAAATTGGCATATTTTTTGAAGGACACTTCAAAGAAACATGTTTTTGCTGCTGGCTGCTTTGGGCCATTCCCCCAGGTTCCTATGGGCAACGTTCTGTCCCTGTCATGTTGCCAGGCACTGGTGCTTTTCACAAATGCCCTGTTGGCCTTTAGACCAGCCAGCCCACCCCCATAGCTACCCAGAAAAGCAAATAGCTCTTCATGACACTCCTGCTTGTTTCCTGTAAACACAACTCAGAGCTTAGCACACACCAAGTACATATGACCTTGCATCAACCTCATCATCATTATCGTTCCTGGCTCCAAAGCTCAGCTTTTATAGCTGTTTCTAAAACTCCCATTGGCTTGGTCAACCCCTGAACTTCCTTTCTGGTTTTCTGTATCTTGCTTATTCCTCATCCAGAATAAGGTTTGATGAGAAACAACAAGCCTCCTGCCTGGTGGAAGCTCACTGGCTTAGTCAACCCACTGGGCCTCCTGGACCTTCTTTCTACCACTATGGGACAGCATTTGGACCCTGAAGTCTTAGGAGGCTTAGAGATAAGGGCTGACGCCAGAAGGAGGCAAGAAAGCTGATGCCAATTCTGGCTCTGCCTCAGTTTTCTCATCTGTGAAATAGGAAAGTAATCAGGTTTACAAGGTTGAGGGTTGTTAAAAATAGTAGCTACATGAAATAAGGTTGGGGCTTGGTGCCTATAGCTCAGTGGGTAGGGCGACAGCCACATACACTAGAGCTGGCAGGTTTGAATCCAGTTGAGGCCTGCCAAACAACAATGACAACTACAGCCAAAAAATAGTCGGGCATTGTGGTGGGTGCCTGTAGTCCCAGTACTTAGGAGGCTGAGGCAAGAGAATGGCTTAAACCCAAGAGTTTGAGGATGCTGTGAGCTATGACACCACAGCACTCGACCCAGGGTGACAGCTTGAGACTCTGTCTAAAAAATAAAAAAGAAATAAGGTTGGGCTTGGTGCCTGTATTTCAATGAGTAGGGTGCTGGCCATATACACGAAGGCTGATGGTTTTGAGCCTGGCCTGGGACTGCTAAACAACAGTGACAACTGCAATCAAAAAGTAGCTGGGCGTTTTGGCGGGTGCCTGTAGTCCCAGTTAGTCAGGAGGCTGAGGCAAGAGCATCGCTTAAGCCCAAGAATTTGAGGTTGCTGTGAGCTGTGATGCCACAGCACTCTACTGAGGGTAACATAGTGAGACTTTGTCTCCAAAACAAACAAAAAGAAAAAAAAATTTTAGAAAAGTAATGATTGTCACCTTTTCTGTAAAACCAAAACAATTATTTATAGACACATAAGGAGAGTACTTAGAAATGTTGAGAAAAACAAATGACAGGGAGGAACGAATGAATGGCCATTGAGTTCCTCTCTCATTTTGTGCCTATGACCTCTTTTTCTCCACACTGACAACTGAGAGATAATATAAAGGCAAAAAGGAGAAACATGGCACGAGGAGGGAGTGGGAGAAGGGTATCTCAAGACCATGAATGCCACTGACCTCAGACAGGCCTGGATAGCAGGCTTGGAAAGGTGCTGGGAGCCATGTTCTCTCTCTGTGTCTGGACCCCATTCTCTGTCTATGTCTCTTTCATCTTCTCTCTCTCTGGCCCAGACAACCTTCTCTCCCTCGTCTCTACGCATGTGGTGGATTGAAGCCACCCCAAAGCCCCAGAGTTACGATGTTACACTGAGAGCCATGCCCAGAGCTAGACTTGACCCTCATTCCACATTCCTAGAAGTGTTACCAAAGTTTGGCACTTGTCACAGATGCCGTATCAGAAGAACATGGACAAGCAGTTTGAGGAGAAGGAAAGAAGTTTATTAATTTGCTGGCAAATCAGGAAGTTGGCAGACTCCCAACTGCATCTGAGCAGAAATGCAGAGCTTTTAAAGGGAAGGTTTTCAGCTTCAGGCTATTGCTGTTCAGCTATAGTTTATGGGCTGGTTCTGATTCATCCCATCTTTCAACTAAGATAATCTTGTGACCTCTACACAGATAATTCCCTTAAGCCCTTTCCTGTGGTATAGAACACAAAAGGACACTCCCCTGCCCCGCTTGACCTTTGGCCTGAAGCGGGAATGCAGGTTTAAGTTCCAAGAAAAGTGGTGGGGGGTTTAGAGGAGTGTTTTTCAACCTTTTTTACTGCACTGCACACTCCTTTCAACCTTTTTTATCTCACCGCAAATAATTAGTGATCTTTTTTTTTTTTTTTTTTGAGACAGAGCCTCAAGCTGTCCCCCTGGGCAGAGTGCCGTGGCATTACAGCTCACAGCAACCTCCAACTCCTGGGCTCAAGCGAGTCTCCTGCCTCCGCCTCCCAAGTAGCTGGGACCACAGGCGCCCGCCAGAACGCCCGGCTATTTTTGGTTGCAGCCGTCATTGTTGTTTGGCGGGTCCGGGCTGGGGATTCGAACCCGCCACCTTAGGTGTACGTGGCTGGCGCCTTAGCCGGTTGAGCTATAGGTGCCGAGCCATAATTAGTGATCTTTACAAATTTTTACATGCACCTAATATAGGGTGACCAGACGTCCCGATTTTGGCGGGACAGTCCCGCTTTTCAACATTTTGTCCCGCGCCCCGTGGCGTTTTAAAAAAGTCCCGATGGAACGGGCTGGAGAACAAGAAAGGAATATCGGTTTTCGGCCGCCATATGGCTATTTCTCCAGAATATGAGTTTTATATTATTTTTGTTAATTTTATAACGTTAAACTGTAATAAATAATTGCTGAGAAGTGATTATAGAGAACTACTTATCAAAGTTTGCATTGTTGTCAGGCCCTGCCCTGTGCCGTCCCCGCCCCCCTATGTTGTCCCGCCTTACAGATGTTAAAATCTGGTCACCCTAACCTAATATCCTCTCATGGCAAACTGGTTGAAAATCAGTTTTAGAGGCTCGGCGCCTGTAGCTCAGTGGTGAGGGCGCTGGCCACATACAATGGGGCTAGTGAGTTTGAACCTGGCCTGGGCCTGCTAAATGACGATAATCGCAATTATAACAACAACAAAAAAATAGCTGGGCATTGTGGTGGGTGCCTACAGTCTCAACTACTTGGGAGGCTGAGGAAAGAGAATTGCTTAAGCACAAGAGTTTGAGATTGCTCCGGGCTGTGACCCCATGGCATTTCACGGAGGGTGACAAAGTGAGACGCTCTCCAAAAAAAAAAAAAGAAAATTAGTTTTAGAGACAGAAACACAGAAAACATTTTTTACCCTTTTCCAGGTTAACCCACACCAAATATACACACACAAAAGGGCCAGTCACAGTTTGGTTAGACGTCAACCCTGTGTAGATCCTGGTCAGGGTGGACTATTCCTGGGGGATTCCCTACAAGCCCTTTCTCCAAAAATAGAGCCAGTCCCAAAACATTTTAGGGCGCTAAGTGACATTAAGGCTATAGTTACTCAGAGGAATCAGAGAGAGACACATTTAAACATCACAATCAGGGAATGAGGAGGTACTAAACATGACTGTGTTTCTTTAGATTTTTATGCTTTCTCCCTTCCCCAAACAAAAGGTTTATATTATTACTGAACGAGCTTAGTAGTACATAGCATATAAACAATGAGAAAAATTATTTTTGCAATAAAATATGTCCCAACTGTCCAGATAGTGGTGACATTTTCAACTTGATGGTAAGATGATCAGCGACCTTGATGCAGCATAAATATGTATGCCATCTCACCTGCAGTTCTTTATAGACCCAGTTTGGTTCTTCAGTATCTCTTCTTGGAGCTGTACCTGATTTTATTAGTACTTTTCACCTAACTCCACTGGGAATGGGACGATTTTGCTTTCATTTCTTGCCCAGGAATTGCTTGATCCTGGAAGACATGGTGAAAAATGGAGTCAACCACCTATACCACAATGACAGAGGAAGGGGGAGGGTTTTTGCTTTTTTAAGGGCATGCTTCTGCTCCTCCCATGTTCCCATGTTAGAACCTGTCAGTGCTCCCGGCCTAGGTCAAGGCCATATACACAGACCTAGGGCACAGCAGTGGCAGGGGTGGAGGTGGGGCAGGCAGTTCCCCAGAGGCTTATCTGGAGGGGCTCAGTACACAGCTCTCTGTAGACACCCTCTGGGCAAACCCAAGTGAGTGCTACAGAGTTTATTACTTTAGTGACTTTGTGGCGCTCTCAGAGTGTTCATCAATAAGCTGTTCTTCTGTGTCTCTTTGGTCTTTTTTTTTTTTTTTTTTGAGATAGAGTTTCACTATGTTGCCCTCGATAGAGTGCCATAACATCACAGCTCACAGCAACCTCAAACTCTTGGGCTTTAGTGATTCTCTTGCCTCCCAAGTAGCTGGGACTATAGGTGCCTGCCACAATGCTTGGCTATTTTTTGGTTGCAGTTATCATTGTTGGTTAGCAGCCCTAGGCTAGGCTTAAACTCACCACCTTTTTTTTTGAGACAGAGCCTCAAGCTGTCCACCTTGGGTAGAGTACTATGGCATCACAGCTCACAGCAACCTCCAACTCCTGGGCTCAAGTGAGTCTCCTGCCTCTACCTCCCAAGTAGCTGGGA